TCAGCCAAAAAGGCCTCTCAAACAGTTACCACAGACAAGTGTAATTTGGGATTGGTGGCTTAATAATAGTAGTTGTTTGGGTGAGCAGAGATTCCCAATTCTTTACAGAAGATCAGTCCTATAAAATGCAGCTGCAGACTGCTGCTGAGAAAAAACTCAATTAAGAAAGGAAATTAGTCTGGCAATTAAAAAAGCCACAACAGTGGCTGGGAAAATGGAATTTTTTTTTTTTTATTTTTTTTTTTTTTTGGAAACTGATGAAATCATTTTGACTAACAGAAACCCATAAGTAAGGTTACTGGAGCAGACTGTTCATGCTTTCTGTAAAATGTGAATGAAGCACAGGTATCTGTGAAGAGGAAAGATTTTAACTTTATATAGTTTATTCCCATAACCTTTAATGTGGTTGTCAGGGCTGTTTTAATACTATAGTCATACTTATAGGACAGTTTTTCCAACTAAGTACGTACTGTTCCCAAGTTTGTTTGGTGTGTTACCTGATTTTTAACGTGATAGTACAAGGCTGAGATAAGCACACTTGCCTGTCCTCGTTAACTGTGAAATATAGTTTCTCAATTAACATTAGTACACAATTTAGGATTTTTGAACCTAGCTGATAATAGCTGTTCATTCAGCATCATCGGACATTCCCAAGGCATGACATAGACTGACATGGCAGACCTAACACTGTAAGGGGCAACATTCTGTTACTGTAGGAGTTAATGGTGTGGGTCATGACTTGAGGCTGCACAGGCTATGCCATGCAGCAAATACCAGTCTCAATGCTTCTGAAAACGGTTAAAAGGTTAGATTTCACCTCATGACAGGTTCTGTTCAGGAAGCGTGAAGTTGGAGGAGAGTTGTTAAAGGACTGAACCCCAGATAAGGAGGCTGTGAATTGTCCTAGCAATCAATCGGATCTAGTTTACCAGCTGAGTAGAACATGGTGGTGGTTTTGAAGCCAGATCAGGGTGAATAAGTCACGTTACTGTTTTGTTTCCATATTTTTTTTCAAAAAACCATATTTTTATTAATAGACAAAACCATGAATGAATGGTCTGTACTTCTATCACAAGTCTTGTATTTAAGAGTAATTTCTTAAGACCTTGAGGGCACCAGACGTTGTCCTCCGCAGAGAATAGAAATTCAAAGATGGTCATTCACACTGTGCCAGATACTGTACAGAAGGTTGGGGTTCCCAAGACTGAGTGATATTTAGTGCTCCCAAATGAAAAATCAATTATTTGATATATTTTATACTTAGATTAAACCTGTAGGGAATAATTATTGAAGTAGGAAAAAATCTCCTCAGTCACTGTATTGAGGTACTGTATTGACACCTCACAGGTATGGCAGAGGTTTCCTGTAGGACTGCGGGCATCTTCATGCAGTCATTTCCCACTTGGAAACTGGTGATAACTTCCTTGTTTGTCACAAAACCTGTAAGGTCTTTGAGATCTTAGCCTCACACTCTACTTTTAGAGTGTTTGAGCTCATAACAAAGCATAAAGAGCTGTCACTGTTGCTGGGGTCACGTGTATTATAGTAAAAAATAGCTAATGAATGCACAAGAAAAGGGAAATCCATTAAAACATTAGTCTTTGTAAATGAAAGAAAGAACTCGTGTATGAGTTCTTAATCTTCTGGTTGTGGTTTGTAGTGTCCTTTGAGTCTGATGCTCAGTTGCTGTGAATAATTTGAAGATTAATTAACAGCACAAATTTGTCACATTTGCTTTCCAAACATAAAATGTTATCTTGTGCACCTGTGGGTGTCTGTATATACATACAGCCCTGTGTGTGGAAGGAGGGCCCAACTGAAGTGTAAGAAAAGATTCCTTTTCTGCTTTTGCTAGACGTATGAGAGCACAGCAAAGTTATGTGTTTTCTGTCTGCTTAGCCCTGTCCTCCATAAATAAGGAGATTTCACAGTGTGTGTATGTAATGCTTTCTCCACACTGTGAGTGTAATAGGGTTCTAGGATGCTATGCCATGCAGCAAATACCAGTCTCAATGTAATATGTTTCAAGACTGTTTTTCTGTTGACAAGGTTTTTTTGTGGATTAATTTCTGCCTTTCTTCCTTTTTCTTTTGGAGAATGCTTTCAGTTGCATTGGCACCAAGAATGACATCAATACTAGTCAAATTCAATTGGTAGTAAAAGGTCAAATCAACGTTACAAGCATTTACTGACATACAGCGTGGCTCAAAGAAAGCTAATTCCAGCAGCCAGTGAATAAAAACTTCAAAGGCACTTAAGTCCCATGCTCAGAAGAGGCTTGGGTTAAGTCTCATTGAAAGTCATTCCAAATCTCACTTGAGAATGGAATTTGGATGTCTTTGGCATTTATATTTCATAACAGCTTTAGTGGTCAAATGTTTCCTCCCCTCTCATGTTCCACTCAAATACATTCTATGTAGAGTGACTCCTAATATCCCCAAAATTCACTATGAACAAAATTACTTGACTCTCCTTTCTGGTTTCTTTTTCCACAAAAGTGAATTACTCATACTGATACGTTTTGTTTCAAAATGCTTGTGGTTCACATCACACCACAGTGCCAGTACTGATACCGTGTTTCTGCTTAGTGGAAATCTATGTTTCTGATATTCAAGAGATTTGATTTTTACCGTTAGTAAAGACAATGAGTCTTGAGTGGTTATTCAAATAGTCTGTTTTAGGTATGAAAGTGGAGATTAAACTGGAAACAAAATTGCAAATGCAGTAATCTTTAAAAAGGCAAAAGTTCCTGTGTTATTTCAACATACAGTATATATTGCCAAAGCGCCGTTTGAGTCACTTTAGTGATTACTAATTAAGGTTGGGTTTTTGGTTTGGTTTGGGGTTTTTTTTGTTTGTTTTTTGGATTTTTGGGTTTGTATTTTTTTTGTGTTGTGGTTTTTTTTTGAGAAAACTGTTTAAAAGAGAAGGGAAAATGAGAGGGCATTGTTAATAAGTTTGTACTTTTTAGTAGTATTTTTGAGACATTTCTAGAAGTGTTATGAGGTGCTGATTGTAGTATGTCTCTTAAATGATCCTCACTTATGTTTTCCTTTCCTTTTCTTATAGTTGCTATAGATGGCCTAGCTTCTTTTTGTGTTTTTCTTCATATCTGCACTTCTTAGAGCTGCTTTTTATGCATCTAGGGATAACAAGAAGCTAAAGGAATTGGGGGTCTTATTGAAGCAACTTATATGGTACATCTAAATTTATTGTCTTAGTACCTTTATTTTGCTTGAAGGGCACAGGAAGAAGTTGAGTGTTTTTCTGAAAACTTAACAGGCAAAGAGGGGATAAGCAACTAAGTTTTTTACTTTGATTTTTTTTTTTAATTCTCAAACTTTGGTATTGCTAACACACTGTGGAGAAAACCACACATGGAGAAACTTTATAGCACTTGCTTTACTCTTCTTTTCCTGATCATCTGGAGACTTAGTATTTTTTCCGTCAGAACCAGGCTTATCACTTCCCCACATGCATTTTATAGAAATAGTTCTTTGCCAAGAATGCATGTTACCTTCAAGCAGTGTTAGTGAACAGTAGGCATCTCTTTGCCAAGGAACAACATTTTCAGGCATTACAAATAGCAGTGACATAACTTCTTCTCCCGTGGGCTTACATGAACTTTTAAGTTTTCATTTTTATGTAATTTATGTTTTTCAGAATTGAAGCACAGTAGGGTTTTTTTTCCCTGTTGTGACACTTGAGGAACCCACAGTCCCAAATTGAGAGCAACAAGAAAAGAGCATGTATGGCAGTGCTGCTGTGTAAATGTATACAATCCAAATCAAAAAGTTATGGGGCTAGTGGTTTTGTGCAAGGGAACTGTGGAATGCTTTCTGCATCTTGCTAACTTCCGTACCCTACTGAGCATAGCTCAGCACTTAGAGCCAAGTTCTGCCCTCCGATGTGCACACTTGGCCCTTGTTTCCTAAGGCATGTGATCTGAGATCAATACTTGGCTTTTCTTTCAAACAGACAAGTAAAGAATCAGTAATGCATACATGTTGCAAATTGAGCAAATAGTGTAAGTAAAATTGCATAATTAATTTAAGACTAAACAATTTTTCCTTTGGAGCGTTTGGTAGAACTCTGGCATTCTTGTCTTGCTTTTACTGTTTCAGTCCTGTGAGGAGTAAGTGTTTAACTTGCGGAGCTTTTGCTGCTTATGACCACATACATGAGAAGGTAATTTAGATTGTCATATTAACAATGATAAACAGTCCTGATCCGGGTTCATTTGTGGATTTGTCCAACTGAATTCTGTTTTTTAGGGAAAAACATCCTTAGAGGAAGGTATTTTTATTATCCCCCCTGCTTTTTTCTTTATTTTGAACTGTATGTGCCACATAAATGATATGCATATATTTGTATATTCATGCTCAGTGGCTTGCAAGGCCCAGCTGTGGAGCTTGCATCTAGACTCTGAGGCTTTTACTTTCTCTATTCTGCAAACTGTCCTTCACTAAGATTTCATGCAATGTTGTTGTTTTCACATTCTCTCGTGGCATGGAAATGACCTTCTCCAACCAGCACTGGAAGCTTCAACCAGCGCATAGGGCTGGTCTGCTGCCATTGTAGGCGAGGTGAAAATAGTATGGGTGCCGTTGCTTGGCAGAGGGCTGAGACAGTAGGTGGAAGAGATGGTTCTCTCTCAACAGCAGTTCCCTGTTTCCTCATAGAGAGCGAGCCAGGCTAGATGGAAGCACAGACTCGATTCAGTCCACAGGAGATCAGTTGAACCATGCTGCTAAACCTCAGAAGTTACCTAAGCTGAATATTTTAGAGAGTGTGTATTTTAGAGATTTACTTGCATTGCTGGCCAAATGTCTGGAAATGAGAGTTGCTATACAGCATTATACTCCCAAGAAGACATTTATAAAGTATCAAGAAAGCAGAAGGGATATGAACAACTTTACCTGCTTTTAAAACATGTTATTCTTTTTTTCCCCTCCCTTTGCTCCTCTTCTCCCTTGCCCCCTTGCCTCCTACTCTCTCAGCCATGAAGACTTTGAATTTATATCGGGGACCCGCATGCGCAAGCTGGCTCGAGAAGGACAAAACCCGCCAGAAGGCTTCATGGCTCCTAAGGCTTGGACTGTGCTGACAGAATACTACAAATCCTTGGAGAAGGCTTAGGCCTCTTATTAACTGCAGATCAATCTTTGACGCCTGATTTATTTACGAGAAGGGGACCACACAGTTGCTTTGTTGTGGTGTCTGTCAGGAAGTTCTCTGAAAAGAGACTCTTTTTCCCTAACTTAGCATCATTCTTTGCCTGTCCTTATGGGTTCTATTATGTTCTGGCACCTAACTAGCTGCTGGTTTTAATGTCTTCTCTTTTTTTACAGTTAATATTCTTGCAGTAGGATTTTTAACTCTTGTCTTTTTTTATATTTTACTGCCTCTGTCCTATGAGTTCTGCAGCTGTTAAATAGATGCAGCTTTTTGTCATATGTTATTTAAACTGCTGGGTAGTGTCTGATTTTAGTAATTTGTAGGAGAAAATGTAATAGTTAGACCCTTAACTATGGTTATATTATCTATAAATCAAAAAAGTAAAGAAGTTTTAAAACATCCGTAAAAGTGTCCTCGTCTTTCTCATCTCATCTCCAGAAGCACTTGACATTAATTTCTCACTATATGTAATGAAAAAGCTGAGATTTTTATGTAGCATAATTAAACTTTTTTGCTTTCTTTGTTTCGTTTTGGAGTTCATTGAGTTGTCTGGTGATTCTCTTCTGCTGTGGACCTGTAAAGATGGCCAAGTAATGAATAAAAGAAAATACCTAGTTTTCGCTTTCAATTGGTAACTAGTCCATTTTATTTTTTAATATGTGCTTGTTGCCATAGGTGTCATAGGGAATGTTTCATTTCATTTGATATAACTTGCCAGTTTTTGGTCCCAGATATAATTGTTCAGCCTACTACAACTTTAAAAAAAGTATGGCAGACCAACCTTGAATTCATGTTTAATTATTGCAAGAAAACAAAAAGAAATCCTTAGATCTTGCCATTTCCTGTGGTACAAATGCTTAGTCCTGAGGTTAATTTTCTGGCTGTTTTTCAAGGTTTCTAGAGTAGTCTTCTCTTGGTTCAGCTTTGCTTGCTTGAAAGACAAAGCATATGTTCTTCTTCAGGATTTTTGTAGAATCTAGAAGCTGGTTAATTCAGTATGTAAAACATTAACTACTGAAGGAGAACATAAAGAATGAAAAGTAAAACACTTACTTAAGTGTAAAGTAACATTGACCTATTTGGATCTTTTCAAGCATTTGCAGGTAATCAGTGAAACAGTCATAACCTCTCTTAGCCTTTTATCTAGAAACTATCTCATATCCTTCTCACAGAACCTTACTTTTCTGTTGTTCAACAGTGTGTATAGGAGGAACCAGCTCAAAATTGGTTTTAGAATGTTGATACTGGACTGCTACTGAGCCTGGATGAAGCATATGTTCATCTAGATTGTTTTGGATGGGGGGGAAGGTTGTGATGAGGGAACCTGTGTAATGAACGGGATGAATGCTACTTGCAATCTTTATTTATTCACAGTAGTATTTAAGACACATGCTTTGAGAATTACTTCCTTCTCTTTTCTTCTTCTGTCTCTTTGAAGAGATGTAGGAAGTATCTTTTAATGGGATTCGTACATCTGATAGAAAAGTAAGGTAGAATTGGGAAAAGCCAAGAGGCATGGTTATTGGGGAACCACAAGAATTACCTGAGACTGTGTTTTGATAGTGTAAAGCTTATTTCTTCAGAATTGCTGAACGGATTTTCTTCAAACTTGGATTTCTTTTTAGATTGTATCAGTATGTAGGATGTGTGAAATCCAGAAGAAAGTCAGTTCATCTGTGTGCAGCTGTTCATGCAAAACTTCAAGTTTCACTATGAAGGTAAATAAGAGTTATCAGCTGCTAAAATGGGATTTGCTGGTGGAAGCTGGAGTTTGGACTCTTTGCTGTCAGGTTTGATTCTTCTGCTAACTATAATGAAAGATAATGAAAATACTTTGGCAGAATAGCAAACATAGGTGAAAGTCTACAGAAGTTAATATTTTTTAAATGTTGTGTGCTATAGGAAGTCTGGAAAATAAGTGGGAGTGATGAGCATGAATGTGAATCATTCTGTAAAGTTAATTTAGAAGCCGGAATGCCTTCAAGCAAATTAATACAGTGATAACAAGCAGATCTATTCTTCATACTTGCCTGGTTTGATGCTGAGGCCCTATTGTTATAGTGCTTCTGGAAAGCATTCCTTGCAAGGCTCTGTATTAAAGAAGCTTTCAGGTTTATTCTAACTTTAAGGCAACAGCCACGGCATTCCCAGTATAATGCTGATTAAGAATAGAAGCATCTGGTCAATTTGTGGGCAGGACTTTCTCTGTACAACGATATTTTGCTGTATCATATAAGTTTTCACTGTGCAGTTCAACTTTTCCCTCTTGTCTGCAGCTGCCTTATTAAAGGAAACAGTACTTACAGGAGAGGGCTACCCCAGAAATTATACTTTTGGCAGTGTGTGTGTATCTCTTTAGCTTTTCTCTGCCTTATCTCAGTGGGTAGCATTGTCAGTTGGCCAGTCCCAACATTCTGTTTTTAACAGTAGGTTCAACTTCATTAAGGGTGGCTATGGCATTTGAGGCTTTTCTGAGATAACAGTTGGGTGTCTTCCAAGGGGGAGGTAACAGGACTAATGAGGTAATGGTTGTTGCACCTAATGCCTGTCTTCCCACACCTGCTCAGACACCAGAGCAATGATCTCAGGAACATGCCATACAAAAGTAATAACATTCTTGAATCCATGTGATGGATGTGAGGATAAGCAGGACCTAACTTTCCAGCTGGGAAAATAAAAAGCTCCATTGTCTAATTTCTTCAGTTCCTAAACCAACTCTCTTTTTACTGGAAAAATACTGATATGTATATGAATCATGAATCTAAGCAGTTACATAGGTGTGTTCTTTTCTTAGGAAGAACAGCAAAATCAAACTTCCAAATATGTCCTTTTCCTAAAGGTTGTTTTGCTTTAACAATCAAGAGGAGTTTTACTCTGTTCACTCTCAAAAGTGTTCAAAAAGTGTTTACCCTGCTTCCCACCTTCTGCCTTTGTGTTGATCTATCTTATAAATGGTTCTTTACCTGCTACTCTTGCACAGGATAATTTATGGCTATTATCCTGTGCTTTTTGTACAGTCTCAGGATGATTATTCACTTTAGCTGATCATTCTGATGTATTTGGTATATGATGAATGAAAGCAGTAACACCCTTGATCCATATGGCTGATACAAGGACAATCTGGGCCCAGCTTTCTAAAATACAAGGATTAACAAGGTATGTGGAGATTACCAAACCCTAATCCTTGGGATTAAAAAAAAGGTACAAAATTACTACCTCTCCTAGGTGAAATGATTATTTCCAGCTGACTTTGGTTCCTGCAGTACCTATAAGCAACTTGAGAAAAAGGCAAGTTTTTTTAATAAAGAACCTCATGGGTGAGAATTCTGTTTTCCAGTATGAGCTCCTGTATGCCTGTTTTTGATGAACATTTATATTCAGGGTAACTTTTCAATTAAGGATCTACAGATTCTGATGAAAAAATAGTAGATGCATGCTGAGGATGCTGACTTCTGTCTGATTTTTTTTCTTTCAATAGGGGATCTGAGCACTAACAATAATACATTAGAGATGTGAAATGGAAAATGTAGACTAGGTCACAAGTTTTGTTTTTGTTTTTTGTTTTTTGGTTTTTTTTTTAGATGCAGTTTGGAGCTAACCAAGCTTCTGCAACTGGAATAATTCAGTAGAAGTCAGGAGAGGGAGGAAATGAGAGGATGTCTTGTGGTGGTAGAAACAGAATAGGGACCATGAGCTGTGTAGCCAGTACTGTAACTGGCTTGAGTTTGGACCTCCCTTGCGTTTCATATTTCCTTAATTTCAAAAAATTCCACAGGTAGGTCACATAGGGTTAAACTTACTGCCTTTCCATGCTACAAAAAGAATAAAAGTAACTTGTTACTTTGAGCATCCTGACCAAATGCTAACAGATCCTTTTCCCTTCCTGATGGATTAAAGGTACTAATCAACGTATTACTCCCTTTCCCTGTAAACACAGCTTCAGAACCAAGTGTGTGTGTGTGTGTCACTTCCAGTATTTACACATACGCATCTCTTGTATCTCTGGTCATGAACCTTTAAGCTTGTGTGCTAGGCACTGTAGGAACACAGAAAAAAGCTCTCATCTCTGCTTCCTCAGGAGTCAGAAGATGAGTCTACTTCATCTATGGTGCCATCCCCAAAGACAGGGAAAGGAAAACTATTCCTTCATTTAGTATAGGAGAATCCACAGGAAAAAAATAAGATGGAAACTGAATCTTCATTTAACTTTGCATGCATGACTGGGTATCCATCTATAAGAACAGGATTTACTGTGGTGCTTGAACAGTGGTAAGAAATATGTAGGAATGGTATTCTACTCTTCAAGCCTGATACAGAATCCTTCACCACCACCTGTAAAATAATAGGGACTTCAGCCTGCAGTGTGTTGGCTGAATTAAATGCTAGAATGAAAGCAACTGATAGCTCAGAATTAGTGTCTTGTGCTTTTTGAATTGATCTCAAACTTGCTTACCAAAACTCCTGGTTTACATGCTGTTAAAGAGGAGAGTGACACTAGTTCCATTTTATTCATGTTTAGAGTTTTTTTACAGGATAGAGCAGAGAAGCTAGATTGCGAAGGGTAAATTTAAAGCATTCAATGGCCAGTTTGTGGGATATGAGAGTTCCTTGCCAGCAGCCAAACAGGTGTCAGGTAAACATGTGATTTAAAGGAAGACTGTGCTGAGATTTCTACTCAGTTGTGTTGTTTTACCTTGAAGAAAGCCTGGGGGTTGGTATAGCAGGGCCTCTTTTAAGTTAGCTTTCTCATTCCACAAAAAAATTTTGATTATGAATATAGCTGTATTTTTACTAGGCCTTTGAAGTGTCCATTCAAGGGTTTTCTTTGTGTCTCCTGCAAGCTATGTGTCTGCTTTTGTGGTATTAGGATTTTTTTTTTTACCTGTATCCCTTTTCATTATTTAGTCTTTATTAAAATCACTTTTTCCTTCTTTATGGGAGGGTATATATGTGCATGAGCCAGAATCATGCCTTCAACATTTCCAGAGCTGTTTGCCCTAGAAACCTCATCTTGATATCATTTTGAAGTTGAGGGGGGGAGGCAACTACACTGAAAGCTAGAAAACACTGCTTTAAAGCCACATCTGGAATTCTTAGACAGTAAATGGCTTCAACTTAAAACAGAGAATACAGAGATTTTATATGCCATAAAACTCAAGGAGCCTTGGATTCAATATAAGGAGTGTCACCCGACCTTCATGTTAAAATCCGTCTACACAATGCTTTGAAGTATGATTGTAGTCAATGCTACCTGTCTATGTATAAAAAGAGAAAAAAAAAAAAAAATCCGGGTTCCAGTATAAACTTCAGTGGGGTGGAAATAATGCCCAAAACTTGTTTTTATCCTCCGCAGGCAAGTCTGTTCTGTCTATGATGTCCTACACTCACCACTCTAAATTGCATTGTATGAGAAGAATACAAACATTTTGGCCATATCTACTTATTTTTATCTCATAACAGCAGTTATGATTGCAAGTAAAAGACTTGCAGACTAAGCTGTAAGTTTTCAGTTTTTGCTGAGCACCTACAGATCTCCAGGCTTTCCAGTCAGATGATCTGAATTTTAGTGGGCTAAATCAATTATTTCTTTAACGGTTGATAGTAAAGTTTGTAGTGAGACAAATAAAGAGATACCAGTATCCATGTCTTAATATTCTCTGATCATTGTTGGTGCATTTTATTTATTACAAAGCATGACATTTTTTAGGAAGTACAAACCCACTCATCTAACATGCAAACACTGCTCTGATTTCAGGAGTGCTCCTCAGAGAAAGAGAAAACGTGTAGACTTTTGTATTAATTTGATTTCATCAACAGCATTCTCAAAAGCTTAAGTGG